CTCCAGGGCGTCATACTTGAATTGAACTGGGGCTGGACAAAATAAATAAATTTACACCAAGGGAAATTCTCTCTCGAACTTGGCCTATGACCTTGCAATGTTCATGGGACGAAAGATCCTCGCTTTTATTTCTGTGCATGTGTGCCTGTGCCTGAGTATTCAGTACCCGGAGAGCACAGAAGAGGGAGGGGGCAGCAGGAGTTCTGGAACTCGAGTTACAGGTACCTGTGAGCCCCCAGAGTGGGTGCTGGGAACTGAACTCTTATCCTCTGGAAGATCAACAAACACCCTTAGGCATCTATCTCAGCACACCCACCCACCTCTTTTTAAAGTTGGAGACCAAGACTTGTGTTTTTGACAGCTTGAGGAAAGTTAAGCTTTATCAGCAGAGGGCAGTGGAGGGACATGCAAGGTCTTGGCAAGGGCTGCACACCCTTCTTCCTATGCGCTGTTAGCTGGCCTTTTTTTTTTTTTTTTTTTTTTTTTTTTTATCCTTTGTGCTGTAAGGATCCCGGGGCTTTTGAGGCTTTTTGCCCATAATCTACATTTAACTGCCTTCGGGTTAGGGCAGCAATTAGCGGATGTCGTCCCTTCCACAGACATACGGACACAACACGAGTGCTGTGAGATCTCCGTGGTGGGACAGGGTGAGACAGTCGCCCCTTCTGTGTCCATGCCACTTCAGGACTTTTGCTCACTGCTTCTGGCGGTGGCTGTGCCTACATTTTCAGTTACTGAGTTCTTCGGAGGCAGGGTCAGAGAAACTTCTGGTAAAGGGCGAGAGGGGAAATACTTTAAGCTGTGCGGGCTATAAGGTATCTGTTGCAGCTATTCAACTCTGGTTTTGGGGGAAAAGGAACAAAGAGACCCAAAAATCTCTTTGGATTTGAAAGAATATATAGCCTCTGGGATTTTCTGTCAAGGGTTCGCCGCCGACCTGCTTGCTGCCTGGTTTTAGCAGCCAGAAACCAGAAGGTGGCAGCAGAGAGCTATGATACTGCTAGAGACTACTATTCCAGATGAAAGACCTCTGAATAGGTATGAGAGGCTGATAGGTATGCTGTGTGTGGAAACCCAGGCAGCAAGGAGAATGTCAACCTCCATTTACCTAATAGTGATGGACAGGAACTAAGAAGAATGTTGGAGAACTCCTATAAGGTTTGAAACCAATTTGAGATTTATTTAAAAAACAAAAACAAACAAACAAAAATACCTGGTCTGAAATAATTGGGTAAGATAGACTGCCTCTGGCTACTGAGTCAGGATGCTTCGTGGTGAGCATCACCTCAATGTAAAGTCTGGCAATGGCCCAAACTGGCTCTATCTAAATATGATATTGACAATATCGTTATCCTTCATTAGTTTGTCAGGTCTCAGCCAAATACCGTAATACCCACATTGAACCTCTGTGTGGATAATCAGTAACCCTGTATACAGAATATCTAATTGGGATCCCAATTCCATCTCATAGACAGACTATTCTAAAAAGACATAGAGAGAAATGTAAAGACTATTTCATAGCTGGGGGGGGGGAGCGCAATTTTACTGATGTTCAGGCTGAAAAAATAATCATTTAACGATGAGGACACTTAACTTTTGAGTCTGCTTAAAAAGTGCATAGAAGGTAAACAACACACTGCAAACAATAACTGTTTATTGAAAGCCTAGTACATCAGGTAAATAATGAAAGACATCTCTTTCATCTCATAATCATGTTATAGAAAAGGGATTTACTACCCAAATTTCACATATGTGAAAAACTAATATCTGATAAGGATAATGCAACATTATAACAGGTGATTTGCTAAGCCAAGACAGCCACTGAGTGACTAACAGGCAGGCAAAGTACTCAAAGCAGATGCATCAGACAGATAGAGGTATGATTGAAAGATATAGGCATGATTGACAGATAGAGGGATGATTTGCACATTAAGTGGAACCAGTAGATCAGGTGACTTGAGGTTTCACCGCTGCTGCTAAAGGTGTGTTGTTCAAAGCCTGAGTACTTTTGTTATAGGATTTTCCATCTATGGTTGGATTTTGGTTATCTGTAAGCTACTGAGAACTGGGAACAATGGAAACAAAACCAGATACAGGCGTCTCCTGAAACGTTAGGAAGGAGGAACAAGGGTTTTCTGTAGCAAAGAGTTTGAGACTTATTGAAACAATTGAAAAATTATTAAAAGGAAACTATGGTCTTCTAAAGGTAAATCTCAGTACTAGATTAGTATGAACTATAACATTTTAAGGATCAGTTAATCTTTTTGTCCCCCACATGATTATTTTTAAATTTTGACCTTGGGATTAGAAACGTTTGTTGGCCAAAGTACAGGTGCACTGTTACAGCAACTACAAGTCCCTAATCCGATGTTTTCTTCTCCATGTTCCAAAGTTATCCCCCAAATGAATGCATCCATAACAATTATACAGTGGTGTGAATACTAAAACAATTAAATCACCATAAATACATAGCTGTCATTGGCTAATTGTTTTGTGGTTTTGACAGAGCACCTGGCAAAGGTAACATATGGACAGAAGGGTCTACCATGAGCAGATGTCATGGTGACAGGATCAACAGGAAATGGAAAGCAATGGATAGATGCTCAATTCTCTCTTTCCCTTTCCTTCAATCCTGCACCCCAGGCCTCAATTAATCTAATGTGAAATATCCTTCACAGATGTGCTCAGAGATGTATTTCCCTGGTGACTGTAAATCCTGTAATGCTGACAAGATGAACCACCACACAGGCCAACATAAAGTAGCTTTGCTGATACAAGTCTTCCTCCCACCCCATTCCTTCCTTTCTAGCGAGCTCTAACTTATTTCACTATTAATCTAATTCAGAGCCAGAGACCCGATCAACCCACTGTTCCACCAGAAATTGCATTAAGTTCAGAATAATAATACCAGAATCTTACAGCTTGCTCAGAAGACTTCAGCTGAAAGTTTGGGAAGAATTTATCACCTGGGAACAGCTTTTAAACATTTTTGATGCAATGTCACATTCTTGAGACATGTTTAGATATTTACATTCATCTGTTCCCTATCATGACTGAAGATACACTGCCTTCTTATTGTCTCATGTGCTATCATGGCTTGCGGCTTTTACCCTGCACTCTGAGAAAGCACTTCTTTCCTGAATAAGTCAGTTATTGATACTGAAGTGTTATGGGATATTTGATCACACTGTGGGGAAATATGTTGCTGTTTTATTCTGATTGGTTTAATAAAGATCTGAATGACCAATAGCTAGGCAGGAGAGAATACGCAAGACTTTTGGGCAGAGAGAGGAACTCAGAGGGTTCAAATTTAGATGCGTGTAAGGAACACCAGCAAGAATGGGGGAGAGGTAAAAAGCCATGTGGCAGAACATAGATTAATAGAAACTGGTTAATTCAAGTTATAAGAGCTAGTAGGGAAAAAGTCTAAAGTGAAGGCCAAGCTTTCACAGATAATAATAATTCTCCATGTCATTATTTTTGGGCTAGTGGTCCAAAGAAAGTCCAACAAGAAAGACTAACTACACTCAAGTTTTGGGGAAATTGGGTCAGATATCATCTGATATTGTTGGAAATGTCTTTTGTTGCTTAAAATAAGTTACTGATATGTTAACTTATAAGAGTTTTATTTAGAAGTTGTACCTCTATAGCTAGGGCATTTCTCAGAAATAACCCAGAAGTGACATGGCTATAATTATCTCTGGATAACAGAGAGTCTGGGTTAGTTTTAGCACATGGCAACAAATATGAAAGTAGGCCTACAAGAAAAATGTGATGGGGAACATAGTTGAGCAACAGAATACCTCTCAGCAAAAATAAGGACTCACATTCAAGCACCACTGACACACTCAGGATGCAGTACAGACATTCTCTATCAGTCAACAAAAAGACAGTGGCATGCTGGATGGAAGCCTCCTGTTCATGTATTCTCTAAGTAGCCCCAAAACAATGCCATGGAGACTTATTATTAATTGTGAAAGCTTGGCCTTTACCTTAGACTTTTCCCCAACTAGCTCTTATAACTTGAACTAACCAGTATCTATTAATCTATGTTCTTCTACGTGGCTTTTTACCTCTCCTTCAGTTAAGAAAACCAGTACTGACATGGGAACCAATGGCAGGAAGTGTTGACTCATTGATATTGCTCAAATAGGAGTGAACTGGGTCACATAAACATTTCACTCTGTAGCGCTAGCGCTGTCATCTAGAAGGTTCCTGGTACTTTGGCAAGTTCGATGAGGAGTGCCTCATGAGTGAGTTATAGAGGGGCCCAAAGATGCATCCTAGAACTCTCACTTCCTGTCATATACGTTATGTGTATAGGAGAAAACTCAACCCAGTTCTGCATTCCTGGTTTCAGATATTTGTGTCTGGTCATAGCAAAAGGTGGTTGATAAGCTAGCTGCACTGAACCCTCACCTTTTGAAGAGAGAGATGATTTTATTCTTGCATGTTTGATGTGGTTAAGGAAGTGTCTAATATGGCTTGGCATATGCCTCACTTGACAGGGCGCTTACCTAGCATGCATGAGACCCTGAGTTAGGCTTCAATAACCAGCCACATGCCTGCATGCACACCTAAGCCATTTGGTTGAAATAAGTTCTTTTTCTTTTTTGGTGTGTTTATACACTTGCAAGTGTGGGTGGGTGTGCACACGCATGTAGTGTGTGTTCATGTGGAGGCAAGTGAGCATCTTTCCTCACTCACTCCACCTTTGTTTCTGGGGAAAAGCTCTCACACTACACTAGAAGTTCATTGGCTTGGCTAGGCTGGCTAGACAATGGACTTCTTATCAAGTGCTGGGGTTCCACTGGGCCCAGTTTTTACATGTGTTCTCAGGATATGAACCCAGGCCCTTGTGCTTGTGTAACAGGGACTTTGTTGGTCTCCAAGGAGATTATTAACCCTTAACCTAAAATCTAACTACTAAGAAACAGCAAGTCAAGAAAACTCAGGTTAATTACTGTTTTCACAGTTCAGAGACGGCAACGATATCTGACCTTGAATTTTCTTCTCACTTCGGCTATTTGGTTCTCTATCTCATCTGTTTTATGTTTAGCTAGGTGGTAAATAGCCCCGATGTTATAAGATTGCTTGTAGAGCTCCCTGAGGTAGTTGTTATTCTTTATCTTCAGGTCCAGCAATGACTGACTTTCAGACTCATACTCCATTTTTTTCCTTAGACTATAAAAAAAGAAGCAAATTTTAATAGGTTACTCTAAGAGAACATATAGTTAGAATAACTTAATTATTCTAAGACAATATATATTTGACAAATATATGCAATAATGATAAAATGTTTATACTTTATGTTGACAAAGTTACAAAACAACCAAGCAGTTAGCTTAAATCTGAATATGTAACCTGTGACTGAAGGTATTTGTTTGCACTTCGGTTGGTTAGTCCTAATTGATAGGCTATGCCCAATGTCAGAAGCACAAATATCTACAGGAAAGCCTTGGGCTTCAGAAGAACCCACTATCAACAGCTGCTATGCACACCTTTCCTATGCATCATAGGCTGAAAATCCTTTCTGCACTCCTGTTATCACTTTGATTCACACAATAGTGCTTGTTTGTTTGCTTGTTTGTTTTTACCAGAGAATTCTTTAAATGGAAGAGTGAAAGATTAAACTCCACTTCACCAGTTCTCAGACCCCACCAATACTGGCATTTTATACCAGATGAGACATTTGCTGTGGACAGAGAGTGTCCTGTGTGTTGACTGATGATTATCAGCATCTCATCGCTCCTGTAGCAGCATCTCAGCTAGGCAACCAAAAGTCTGCTGGCATTGATAGGTACCTCCTGCTTAGGATAAAACAACATGCCATCTGAGGACCACATACCATCATCAATGAAGGAAGTGGTTCTCAGGCTCAGTGGTACATCACTATCCCAAGAAAGGCATTTAACGTTGCTCTGTGTTTTAGAAAATCCTGCTATAGTTGACACTGGCCTGGCTTGAGCATCTGAACCCTTGAAGCCTCCCCCAGTGTCACACTTCCTAAAAGGCCACAACTCCTCCAATAAGATCACACCTCCCAATAATGCCACTCCCTATGGGCCTATGATGGGCCATTTTAAAGGACTATTTAGAAAGTTTGTCTAGATTCTTTTTTTACTTTATTATGTTCCTGTAACCATTTTAAATTCATTTGGGATTTATAGAATATCACCATTATATAAGGTCTGAAATGATAAGATTATTAGAGTATGTACTCAAATATATATATTTAAATATAGTCATTCTATTATGTCAACTTACTGTGGGATATATATATATATATATATATATATATAATCAACTGTCATTCATGGTGGATATTTTCTAATGTGTTTTATAATCGTGTAAGCCCATTTTTAAACATGTTCCTTGATGAGGTCTCAATCAGGAGTTTATTTCTTTAGAGAACACATGGGCTCATAATTATAAAGCTATAAAAATCCTCTTTGGGGATATATGCTGCATTAAGTAAAAATAGCAACCTCTAAAGCCATTTCTCAGAAAAATGACTAAATGATAAAGTCACTGGTCTTTCTATATTAAAATTTATCTTACAGAATGTCACATATATTATATAATAAAATTGAAAATTTTCTTCTTAGAATATTATTCAACACATACTTAATGTATGCTCACTAACCCACCATGATGGCATGTTTCTTTAATCCTAGAACTCTGGTAGGCAGGTCCCTGTGTGTCTTGCTGGCTTGGTCTACAGAGAGAGTTCCAGGACAGCCAGGGCTACACAGAGAAACCCTGTCTTGAAAATCAAACAAATGAACAAACAACCAAAAAGAGATGCTCACAATGCATCTCGCCCTAAGTTGGTCATTGGTGTTCTAAAATTGGAAGGCAATATGGTATGAATAGCTACTACCGAGTAGTAGTAGTAGTTACAGGGAACTGGATATACACCTTTGATAAAGTTGTGTGTTTTTCTTTTAAATCATGTGGGTGAAAAGCTAACCAAGCCTGCATTATTTCTAAATGGAAAATAATTTAGCAAATTCAGTGTCTCTTTAGAAATGGGACCATGATAGAAAAACAGGCAAATACATTTTAAAAAGAATCTTGTGTCTATAGGTATGCATGACACAGTGAAGCTAGTAAGGGGACCATTCACCGAAGCAGAAGGAACAGAAGGAACAGATCTTAAGTGGAAACAGATGGGGCAAAGACCACTTTGTTATAAAATAATACCACATTGGGAATTTAGTTATAACAATAATAAAAATCTGCTACTAATGTAGTCAGAATGTCTTCATTTTAGATTGTAGTAATATTTGGAAATTTGCTTGTTGTTATTGAGTCATGGTTAGAGATTGATACTATTAAACTTCTTTTAATAGTATTTGTCACTTTCTTCATAGAAACTACCTAATTCCTGCTCATTAGAATAACTTTGACTTGACTTTTATATGAATTTTCTAAAGAGTAACATTTTATTCCATTATATACTTAAAGTAAATATTATATGTATGCATTTAAGGGGTCCCAAAAATAATTTAATTTAATGATTCTGGCCTATCATTTTTGGGGGGAGGGATTTATATTATCTGTGATCAAAACCTTAACTTACCCCACAAAATTCCATCTCCTGATATTCAGGATCTTAAGAGAGATGACATCATAGATATGGAGGAGCTTGTTTGAGAGTTATAGTACTTCCACATTTAATATATTTCAATGATCTTGATAAACTTTTTGCCATTTTTTACAGCACAAGTCAAAATACTGTTAGACAATGGTCTTTGTATCTTTCCACACCAGTTCTCATCAAGCATATCACTGTCTTTCTTCCAATCTTTCATTTTTTGTTTTGTTTTGTTTTCCTATACATTTAGTTTCAGCTGGTAGCACCAGCAAGAAGTTTTTGTTTTTTGGTTTTGTTTGTTTGTTTGTTTTTGCAACCTTAAATTGTGTAATGATCACTACTATGAAATCTTGGAACAGGGATCTGAGAATCTTCGGTTTAGGGTTCTGAGTTTCTGATAAAGCATCATCATGATCAAAAGAAACCTTGGGGAAGAAATGTTTTATTGGGCTCATAGTTCAGCTCAAAGCTATGAAATCTTTCCACAATCGTACTGAGAAACAATATGGCCAGGCCTATCATGGCAATATCCCACTTCCAGCACCGATTTTTGTCATGTGTGCTTTAATGTTACTGTGGTAAATACCATGACCAAGTGCAACTTAGGGAGGGAAGGATCTAGTTGGCTTACATACCCAGGTCACAGCCAGTCCTTGATGAAAGTCATCAGGACAGGAAAAGAAGCAGAAACAGAAGCTTCAACCATAGAGGAAAGCCACTCCCTTCCGTATTTCCAGGCTCATGTTTAGCTACCTCTATCCAGGGTTTAGCTACCCGGGATTCCCAGCCCGGGTGACACCACCCACAGTGAGAGAGGGGCCTTTGCCCATCAATCTGCAACCAAGAAAATGCCCAACAGATGTATCCACATACTGAGATGGAAGCAGTTCCTCAGTTGAGATTCCCTCTTCCTGGGTAAGGCTAAGTTTGAGTCAAGGCTGTGAAAAACTAGCCAGAATACAGCATATAGCTCTTTTGATCTATTTTTTTTTTCTATTTTTGTTCTCAACTTAATCCTTAAAATGACTTAGTATCTTTCACATTGACCTCTAGGGCTATAGTGCTTGCTTGTGGCTACTTACACACACACACATACACACACACACACACACACACACACAGAGAGAGAGAGAGAGAGAGAGAGAGAGAGAGAGAGAGAGAGAGAGAGAGAGAGAGAGAGAGGGTGGGGAGAAGCAGGAACACATGGTTCATTATCTTACCTGCTCTTCCTGTTTTAACATTAGTTCTCATATCTGAAATTGCTGTCACTGCCGATATACTAAGTATATTTGAATGTTCACAAAATGGCAGTTAAATTGAAGCCAAGTTAACTTGCAAATAATTGGGTAAGTGAAAAAGAAAACTAAAACAACAACCTTGAACATGAATATACAAAATGAACATTCTATACATATCCCAGCTGCACACAGCTGTGGGCTTTGAGGAAAGAAACTTTGGCTGCTGGAAACTTGACTTCTTCATTTTTCCCCGGGAAATGCCCATGAATAATTAATGAAGTGTGAATCCTAGAGAGGTTGTATAAATATTCAGCCTCAGTGATAATCAAAGAAATGGAGTTTAGGACAAGTTCTTGTACTGCCCAGTCTTAAAAAAAAAAATAAAGAAAAAGAAAAAGAAAAAAGAAATCACAAAATATTTCTGGAAGATAGTACTAGAGATATGTTAAGAGATTTAAAATATTATGGCTAAAACATTTTCATAAGACTGTTTCACATTTTTTAAAAAAAATATTATTCTGAAAAACATTTCTACATAAAAAATTTACCACAGTACTTGTAGAAAGTAGTAAAATTAAATAAATATTACAATGTCATTTTATAGATCATGGCTTTCCTGTGTAACAGGATCATACAGATATTTAAGTGTATTTGCATTTCTTATAATAGTGTGCTAAAATTTCATTTTCTCATGATGAAAGAAAATTAGTACTCACAGGTATTCATTATCTATAAATATGAATTTATAATAATATCTGTGTATTAAAACCATTTTAAGTTTGATCTCTCTAAGTTTGTTTGTACACGTTTCCTACAATATTCGTTCATTATAATCAGAGTTCTAGTAAATCATAAGGACATGTTATTGCTGTGAATTAAGTGGAGATTTTGGTAAAGTAAAATTTTGTTTGCCATGGTTTAGGAAATATACAAACAGTATAAAAAAGGAAACCCTTGGTTACAAAGTAGCTTGCTGGGCTCCACTCTGTAATGGAAGTACACATATGATTACTCTGGCTTGATCACTAGAATCAGATTAATTTTTTATTATTAATGATATTGATATTGCCAGTATGTCTTAGAAGAAAGGATGAAAGGCACAGTAAAAACCAAGCTAAAACAACAAAAGTCTCTTAACATAACCAAATGAAAAGGTGCCATAAACATGATGATCTAAAACAATAAGTTGAGGAAGCAAATGCAAAGATATTCATGCCCAGAGTGTGTTTGATGGGTGAAAAGCAAGCTTGAGACACCCGAGTCAAGCACAGTGTGGTGTTGTTTTTAAAGATATGATGTATGTGAACTCTTGGTCCTTAGGGGGTGGAGCTGTTGTGCATTAGGAGGCAGAGATGCTCTGGAGGAAGGGTGTCACTGAGGGCTGCTTGAAGTTTGAGAGCCTAACCCCACTTTCTACCCTTTTCCTGCTTCCTGTGTGGTGATAAAATGTGGTTGTCTATGTTTAATGTTCCTGCTGCCACCCCTGAATCCCTTCTACTGATGATTCTATCCCCCTGTTTATTCAGGCCAAAATACATGCTTTCATTCTTAAGTTGCATTTGGGATATTATTGTATCTAAGAAACAGAATCGTAGTTAATGCATACTGAATTGTAAGATGACATAGAAGAATATTTAGGAGAAAGGCAAATAAAACATTGGGAAGAAATCATTGCATTTGCTGAAACATCAGTTTGATTTATTGTTGGAGAGACACACAAGGTGTTACCTCAGAAAGAAAACCCAATGAATGGGATTAACTGTCAGAATATCCCAATTGTCATGATGACAATTCATTGTTAAAAATAATAAGTGGGTTTCATTGGGACATTTCAAACTCATACTCCATGAAATTGAACTGGGTGCTTCCTCCTATGCTCTTCCTGCAGGTCCCCTTCCTCAAAATTCTCCCCCTCCCCCATAGGTGGAAGTTGTTTTCCTGCAAGCAACTCCCAAATACCATAGAGATACTTATATTAATTATAAATGCTCAACTGGTAGCTCAGGCTTATTACCAACTAGCTCTTAAACTGGAATTAACCCATAATTCTTATCTACGTTTAGCCATGTGGCTTGGTGTCTTTTCTCAGTCTCACATACTCATCTTGCTTCCTCTGCATCTGGTTGGCAACGCTTGCCTTCACCCTTCCCCTTCCCATCATTCTTAGTTCGGTCGACCTACTTATACTTCCGGCTTGACTACTGGCCAATCAGTGTTTTATTAAAAAAAATTAAAGTGAGAAATCTTTATAATGTACAAGAAGATTATTCCATAGCACTCCCTTTTTCTTTCTTGATATATATATATATATATATATATATATATATATATATATATATATTACAAAACTAGAGTCTATAGACAAATAAAATGGTGGGATACCTTGCTCAGCATGAATACAGGAGGGAGGGCCTAAGACCTGCCTCAACCTGATATACCAGACTTTGTCGACTCCCCAAGAGAGGCCTTACACCCTCTGTGGAGTAGAGTGGGGGGGGGGAGTGGGGGAGTATATAAAATGAACTCTCTCTCTCTCAAACACATTCACACACACCTACCTAGATTCTATATATGGTAGAAAACAGGTGACAATTTGCTGAGTCTGACTTGTTTCATTTATTATTTTAATTCAATGTTCCTTCTTTTTGGCTGAACAATGAATGAATGAATGTAGGGGTGTGTGTGTGTGTGTGTGTGTGTGTGTGTGTGTGTGTCTGTGTGTGTGTGTGTGTGTGTCTGTGTGTGTGTGTGTGTGTGTCTGTCTGTGTGTGTGTGTGTGTGTATGCACATGCACGATGTGTGGAGTGAAACATAAATGCCATGGCACATGGGAATTGGTGTGATTGATTTTCTCTCTCTCCCTCTCTCTCTCTACCTTTACATGAGTTCCATGAACTGAACTCCTATCAGCAGGCTTGCACACCAAGACCCTTTGTCCTTCAAACCATCTTGCTGGGAAGTCACTTGCTTTCTTGAGTATAGCTGTCTTGACTTAGGTGCAATAGCATCTCAGAGTAGTTTTAATAAATTCCCAGTGTCAGACACTTTTTTTCTAGTGTTCATTGTCTATTTGTACTTCTTTGGTAACTGTCTGTCTATCCCATTAACATGATATCTGACTACATGACTTGCTTCACACAATGAAATATGAGCAGTGATATTGGAAACATTCTTGCTGAAGCTGTAAGAGCTATAAATGGTCTCAGTAATGCACTCTTCCCTATAGTATTAAAGCAACGTGCCCAGAGGCATTCAGTCCTTGTCTCTGGGTCTCAGAAGGAAGAACATGTAAACAGACACAGTAGCTATAGCTGAATGGCAGCATGTGTGGGAAATAAACCTTTCCTCTTATACACCGGTAAGGCTTGGAGGCTGCTTGCTTTTGCTAGCTGTCACACTCATGTTCTCTTACAAATGGGTCTCCTCTCTTGCTTACTACTTTTGAGGTGTCTTTGTTTTTTCTCTTTTTCCCCTTCTTCCTAATTTTTTAAAAATTCACAAGTTTTATTATAAAATTTCATATAAAATAAGCATCACAGACCAAATTAACCAGAGCTGTGGTTATAATATATAACTATATAACTTTATATAGTTATAATAGAGAAATCAACACTATTTGTATAATACAGCATTGTGAGCAAGTTAAAAAACATGAGGGAGAGATGTGCCCATCCAAAAACAATAGAAAATGCTTTGTGTACATCCCTGCACCATAATCATAAGGTTAAGTAATACTTGTACAGAAAGAACAGTAAAACTGTTATAAAAATACAGTTGAAATGTCAAGTGTTACTAGTAGGGGAATTTGAGTAAAGTCATGATTTGAACCAGGTATAGCATATTACAGCAAATAGGAGGTAGCCTAGTCAAGGGAGCTATGGATATGTGAAGAAAATGCTCCCTTTCCTTTTCTAAAATCAGTGTCAATGAGAAAGTTAGTTAATGATACATGTACTTAAAAAGAGAAAGGACATGTGTCCTTCTCATTACAGATAATGGTTAGAGAAGAGATATGACTGCCAGGCACCTACTCTCAATAGCCATGCAGTATGCACATCAGATCTGAATTTTGCTGGAAACATACATTTTAAAGATGCTTGAGGTGTGCAGAAGTGTTTGCTCACATGTTGGATATGGGAGTTGAGATAGAAGTGGCATGAGGGAGACTCTGGTTCCTAAGTGAAGAAAAGCAGGTTAGCGGTTATAGGGGAGGAGTGAAGAAGGGCTGGAAGAGATGAGGAATGACCACACCTACATTAAGTTGAACGTAATCCTTAACCTCTAGACTATATGTCTACGGCACTTTTGCTAACAGTGTCCTGGATGATAACAGTATCATTTGGAATAAACTCCAGTTAAAGTAATATTAAATATGAAAACTCTTATATTACCCCAAGGACTCACGCTAGGAGAGTTTATTACATATCTCCTACTGGGAATTCTAAATAATAATAATAATAATAATAATAATAATAAAATCTGAATCACCTTTCCCCGATATCCTCTGTTATGCCTCCAATTTCAGATTGGAACCTTTTGTTTTCTTCTGTCAATGCCATATACTTTGTTGAAATATCAGTGAAGTCTTTCGAAACATTAGACAGCTCAACATCCCATGCTTTTTTCTTGATTAAAAAAAAAAAGAATAAAAGAGCTGTTTGTACATGTTCAGTAACTAAAAATTAAGTTTTAGATGTCAATAAAATTAGTTTTAATCATGCAAGTTAATTATTAAGTACAGTTTGTGGTGCTCTGCAGTGAAACAGGGAATATTCCACTTACTGAGGAGTAATAACTACAAAGTGCCTCCATGTATTGCTGCTCAAGATTTCTTTGCTTCCAGGAATATTGATCAAACAGTCTCTTCAGATCATCTACCTAAAAGTGCACAGAAGATAAGTGAACTGAGTAGATTTCCTTCATTTTTATAAGAGAGCATTGTATTTTACTTTGGATAGTTTCCCTAATGAACATCGACTGACATGGTCTCATCTGCCATTTTGAAATCTAATATAGGATTCTGATAAAACACAGCAAATCAGATATAAATCAAGTCTAGTGTCTCCAATATTCAGATGAATAATTAAGACAAAAAAGAATGTGGTTTAGTTACAGGAAAATGGAAAGACACCAGGAAAATTTGAATCATAATTTATTATACTGACAAGCAAAAGCAAAAAAAAAAAAAAAAAAAGGATACAATACCACACTTTATAAAATAGCCATTTGATTAAGCCACTGCTTAGTTCTCATGGTTTCACATTTTCCCCATAGGTTTTGAAACTTCAAAATATAAGTAATGAACAGATATGTCAACAAAACTTTTAATACTGAACCCATAAACTTGCATGTAGCTTATATAGCTGAAGAAATGGCTCTAGAAGATGATCCAATACAGTTTCCAGCACGTGCAACCAGTGGCTTACAACTACCTATAATTATAGCTCTGGGTATCCTGTGACCCCTTCGGTCCTCTGAGATGCCAGTGTAAAAGCACTGTCAATAACAGCTGGGGCAATATGTCTCCACTACTGGCCAGCAACCATACCACAACAGACCCTTAGAATTGCAACACAGCTGAAGCACAAAACAAATACCTCAAAATAGACTTTATGAGTATGATAGAGCAATGTTTCTCAAACTTCCTGATACTGTGACTTTTTAATAAAGTTCACAACAGTCAATTAACTTTGTTGATACTCTGTAACTGTGATTTTGCTACTGTTACAAATCATAAATGAAAATATCTGTGTTTTCCAATAGTCACAGGCAATCCCTGTGAAGGGTTGTCCACTCTCTCCATATCTATTCAATACAGTATTTGTTTTCTTACCTGAAGCAAAGGAGATCAAGGGTATACAAATTAGAGGGAGAAAGTTAAGATACCTTTATTTGGAGATGATTAGATAGTATACATACGCTAACCTATAAATCCTGCTAAGAAACACAGATGATAAACACATTCACTAAAGTATCTGGATATATAGCCTTACTATACACATATGACAAATGGACTCAGAAAGAAATCAGAAAATACCTTTTACAATAGTCTCAAATAATATAAAAAGTTTGGGGTAACTCTAACCTAGCACATGAAAGATTTGTATGATAAAAAAGATATCAAATTTAAGACATTGAATAAAAGAATTGAAGAAGACATTAAAAGATTGAAAAACTTTCCATGCTCCTGGATCAGTAGGATTAATATAGCAAATAATGGCCATCTACCAATAGCAATCTACAGATTTAATGTAATCCCCATAAAAATTCCAACACAATTCTTCAAAAATCTTGAAAGAACAAATTGCAGCTTTATATGAAAACATAAAAAGCCCAGAATTTCTAAAACCCAAATAATAAAAGAAAAATAAAAAAACTGCAGAAGGTATCCCAGATTTCAAGTGGTACTATAGAGTTACAGTAATAAAAAACAGCATGGTTTTGTCATCCCTCCCCCACAAAAAAGCCATGTTATTAACGGCATAAGAATGAAGACCCATATGTAAATCCAAACATCTATCTATGACATCTGATTTTTAATAAAGAAATCAGATATACACACTGGAAAAATGACAGTGTCGTCAAAAAATGATGCTGGTCAAATTGGATGGCTTTACGTAGAAGAATGAAAATACATCTTTATCATACTTCACAACACTCATCTCCATATGGATCAGAGATCTCAATATAAAATGATTTTCATTGAACCTGATAGAAAAGAAAGTAGGGAATGACCTTGAACTAATAGGCACAATAAAAGGTTTTCTGACCAGAACATCTATAGAAAATTACCAATAGTGCAGATTTGAATGGCTAAGAAACACTTAAAGAAATGTTCACCATCCTTAGTCATCAGGGAAACAACTTTGAGATTTCATCATACACCCATCAGAATGGCTAAGTTAAATAAAACAAACGATATCCCACAGTGATGAGAACATGGAATAAAGGACACATTTATCTTGCTACAGCAGATGGAAACAAATACAGAGATCCACAGCCAGATATTATGCAGAGAGTAGGAGATCTTGGATGTCTCCATTAATGCCTCCACTCCCCAGGGCTCAAGGAAGCTTATAGTAAAGGAGGCAAAAGGGTTTAAGAGCCAGAGGGGATGGAGGACACTAAGAAATAAGGCCCTCTAAATCACATATGAATTCTCATAGACTGAGGCAGCATGCACAGAGCCTGCCAAGGTTTGCATCAGATGGGGTCCCAGACCTAAAAGGAGAAGAGGACTCAGGCCTGCCAAATGCCCAGGAGTAGATAGCCAACTGAAAACAAACTCATTGGAATCTTTGGATGTTTCTTAACTCATTATGTTTTATTAGGGTTTTCATTCCTTAAAAAATTATATTTTTTAATATTTATTAATGTATTTTATTTATATTTTTGTTATCATACTGGTGCTTTGCATATCTTGTAGCATCCAGTTAGTGACTTTATGGAATTCCTAGTGTTCACATGAGTGGGATTTTATTTCTTGTGCCTTCTCTTGGGCTCTTTAACTTCTGTTTGTTTGTTTTTTTCCAATTTCAATGTCTCAGGTTATTTTTATCTTATATTTTACTATGTTATTATCTCTTAGAAGCTTGTTTATTTTCTTATGAGAGACAGGGGAAGGAAAACCATAATCACGATATATTGTGTGAGAGAAAAGTCTATTTTCATTAAGTGAAAACAATTAAAGGAAATAAAAAACATGAACATAAAGTCATATTACCTATTACATGTTTTATGAATGACTAATCAAAATTGTAAAATGAATTCAAGTATTGATATGATATTATTGACATTTAATAGAAAATGTATCTTCAATTTCAGATGATTTGATTAAATAGAAACAGAACATTTTATCTAAACAACAAATGTCTAGATAGGAGGATAAACAAAGCAGCCTTACAGACTACAGCCAGGATTTCTGCATCTTCTTAGAATCCCCCATGACAGCGCCCCTTACCAGCAGGAAGTAGTTTGGAAAGGACGACACCCAAATTCCCAAATATTGTCTATAAATGTTTGTTTTCAGTTAAATGGACTTGGTTATATAAAATAAACAAATAAAAAATCAATAATTTTTATATGTAATAGTGATAAACTGCTTTCAAAATGTACTAGTAAAAGGAAAACTCCTCCATTGCTGGTGGGAATACAAACTTGTACAACCACTTTGGAAATCAATATAGTGATTTCTCAGAAATTTGGAATAGATATACCTCAAGACCCAGTTATACAATTTCTGGGCATATACTCAAAGGATTCTCAATAATACCACAAGAACGCTTGGTCATAGAAGCTTTATTCATCATAGCCAGGAACTGGAACAACCCTCAACCAAAGAATGGGAAAAGAAAATATGATGCATTTACACAATGGGGTATTACTTAATTGTTAAAAACAATGACATAATGAATTTTGATGGCAAATGGATGGAACTTGAAAAGATCATACTGAGCAAGGTAGCCCAGACTGAGAAAGACAAACATGGTATGTACTCACTTATAGGTGGGTATTAGCTGTAAAGTAAAGGATAACCATGGTACAATCTATAGACCCAAAGAATCTAAATAACAAGGAGGGCTCAAAGAAGGACCCATAAATTTCTCTTTGAAGGGGAAATAGACTAGACATTGCTGGTGGATGGGGTTGTGATGGATAGGAGGTGTGGATGGGAATAAGAGGGATCAGATATGAGGAGGACAGATGGAGAGAGCACTGGGAAAGACAACAGGAATTGTGGGCTTCTCTGGGAAGAGCTATAAACCTAGTGCAATGCAAACTCTCAGCCATCTTTGAGGGTTACCGTTGCTAAGAGTCTTAGCAATGGGAGTTAAGGAGCCTGAACAGGCCATCTCTTGTAACCAGGCAAGACTTCCAGTGGAAGGATTAGGGCACCAACAGAACCATTAACCTACAATTTGTCTAGCCTACAAGATGTGCTAGGGTAAAGTCAACACAGAATTGGGGGAGTGGCCAACTAATGACTGGTCCAGCTTAAGACCCATACCATGAGAAAGAGCTCATCCTTGATACTGCTGGGTAGACCAGGACCCAAAAATCTGAAAGCCTACAGTCCTAGGATGGAACCAAACACGACTGGAAAATATAAAAATAAGAAGAAGGAGGAAGAGCAGAAGGAGGAGGAGGCAGAAGAGAGGAAGGAGAAGAAGAGAGAAAGAAAGAAGTCAATGAAATGATTCCTAATGATATTCTGTTATTCTCATAGATTGGTGCCTAGCCCAACTGCCATCAGAGAGGCCTCACCCAGCAACTGATGGAAACAAATGCAGAGACCCACAGACAACATTAGGCAGAGTTTGGGGAATCCTGTGCAAGGGGGGAGGAGCCAGAGAGTTCAAGGACATCACAAGAAAACCCACAGAATCAACTCACCTGGGCTCATAGGGCCTCACAGAGATTGAACTGACAACCAGGGACATGCATGGGACTGACCTAGGCCCTTTGCATTTATGTGGCAATTGTGTAACTTGCTCTTCTTGTGTGGAATTCCTAACAGTGGGATCAGGGGCTGTCTCTGACTCCATTGCCTACTTGTGGAACCCTTTCTTCCTCCTGGGTTGCCTCATACAATTTCAATAGATGATAAGGTGCCTAGACTCAGTGCAACTTAATAAGCCTTGGCTTGCAGATATCCATGGGAGGTCTATCCTTTTCTGAAGAGAAATGGAGGAGGAAGAATGGATGGAGGAAGGGGAATTTAGAAAACCAGGAGGAGAAGCGGGGAAACCAGTCAGGATGTAAAAACAAAACAAAAACAAAATAAAATAAAATGCACTAGCAGTCCTATACAAGTTTTGTTAAAATACATATTATTTGATAATAGAAGTCAATAAAAATTAAGAACCATATAGTCACAA